GGTTGGAAGTCCCACAGCCACATCTGGCCAAGGCATATCTGGAGTTTTAGATTCCACTCTAGGTGCATGGTTTTGAGTGGCACTGGGTGGGTCCAGGAGGATGACTGGGCCACGTCATACTGGCCAAAGAACCTGGGGATTGTAAGTTAAAAAAAGACTAACGGGGAACACGGGCCATGCCATCAAATATTTCAAGGCTTTTTTGCAAGAGAGACTAGTCCCATGCAGGCAGCTCCATAAACAAGTATCAGGTGCACTTGTTACAATACAATGAAGAATTTTTGTAGAAGTGCCCAGGGAAGGGTTGCATTTGCAAAACAGATAGCATTGCGTGCCACGTTATCACCTCCGTTTCATGGTGGGAAAACAATGGTAAACTTGAGGCGAAGAGACAGGAAGAGCAAGCACAAGACTTTGAGAAGTTGAAAATGTTACGTAACCAGGCAGCATTTGTTACTACTTGCCAGGACTAGCATTTCAGTAGCAAAACTTCCAATGGCCAGAGATAAAATTTATCTTCCAACTAGACACTTGCCTGCACGTTGTAGTCTTCAGGGGTTGTGTCATCTGTGTATCAGGAAGACAAATAATTATGTTGATAGTTTATCAGGTTTCCAGTTCCAAAGCTGGATAGCCCCCTGGTAACTTTAAAGAGGTTATTTTGGTTCATTTCATCTTGTTTTGTTTTTGAGTAGGTGAAACATTGAGGTGGTTGAAAATTCAAAGAGTAAATAAAGGTATACTATGAAAATCTCCTCCCTCTGCCAATTTCTGTCCTCCAGCCACTCAGTTCCACTCCTCAGAGGTAATGAATGTTAACCAGTATCTTTCTTATTTTATGTACATCTTACTCTTTATGCAATTTTCTCAGTGTGAGAGTCCAGGAAGCAAGGGTTTCCCGACTCTCTGACTATGTGACATCCCATAAGATGCTCTCTGCTACACAGGACTGAGTGGAGACCAATCCCAAGAGATTTGGGACCAAGTTTTCCTCGAAACAGCACACATCTGCCAATGCCTAATTTCACTATTCTGCACTTCACTGGCCAGTTAAATGTCTTGCCAAAGGCTCTGCAAAGAACAAGAGATAACATCCGGTGTGGGTGAAAATGGCTATTTCCCCTCTAACCAAATTTCCTGACAAGGTCACACAGTTGCATCTTTGTGCGTGTCCAGAGAGCTGGATGGCTGGTGCTACGGAGAGCGTTATTGCTATAATCATTGGGGGTTCAGTTTACAGTGGAGAGTAACATACTTATTCACACACTGGCCTGTCTACGTGCCCTTCATTTGTGTGTATATGTGTTATTTCCGCCCTTGAAATGATAAGTTCCTCAAAGGCAGGGTCCTGATACCTAAACCCTTTGTGTCCTCACAGTCTCAAATTCAGGGATCTCAGCTCATATTTTCTCATATTGTTTGGCAAGCTTAGGAGTGGATTTTCTTCCTTCTAAGTATGTCTCGAGTGTGTCTGGGAAGCTCCTGTGGGGATATGCTGTCAGCATGAGGTATTGTTCTCATCCTCATTAAGTTATAGATTTTTCTAGAGAGACAAGAATTACAGGTATGAAACAGGGACAGTACCTAATAAAGTGCTAAATTAAGATGAGGTTTAGGGGGACATGATTGAAACAGGATTGATCATCCCAGTTTTCTTTAGAGATTAGTTAAATTTTATCCATTTCTAAATTTTCTAATTTAACCTTGATTCTTAAGGCTTTAGTTTATAGGTTTATTAATAGAAACAAGCTCTGTGCTTCCTCTTGTTCTTGGAAATATATATTTTGTTAGGTAATACCCTCCTCATCCCTCAGACCTCCTCCAACCTCAGTAATAACTACACCCAAATAGGACATTCCAAGTCGGGCTTTCCTTAGGAGGAGACAAGGCAGTTCTGCCAAACCTGCTACACTTCTGCTACTTGGAGTTATATGGTTCTTGGACATATTCAGGAAAACGGGCAGCTCCGAGGTATAAGGCCACAAGGCCCAGGAGCCAACAAACCTCCGACAGGCCTCCCATGAGCTTTGACAGTTGGGGGCCAGAGAACATATGAGTGACCCTGAGCAGAGCACATGGCTGTAAAGGCCTGCAGGGTTTCCCAAGGTTAAACTAGGGACTGGAGGTGACAATGGCCTTACGTTACATACTTGACATTTTTTAAGCTACTGCACGGATTTTTCTAAATACAGCATTTCTCTCCATTCTTGGCAATAAAGGAATTGTGCTGATGGAGTGGTTCTTAAGTTCCCTGTTGGGGTGAAGGAAGATAAAAGAGTAGGAGTAAGTCTGACTCATGTCTGTGGATTTATACTATAACAAGAGTCATTTATTTTTATAACAGCAAGTCAGGCTTCATCCTTGAAACAAAAAAGTCCACTCAGGATTATCCGTTTAGGGCCAGCCCGGTGGTGCAAGCGGTTAAGTGTGCGCACTCCACTTGGCGGCCCGGGGTTCGCAGGTTCGGGTCCCAGGCGTGCACCAATGCATCGCTTGTCAAGCCATGCTGTGGTGGCCTCCCATATAAAGTAGAGGAAGATGGGCATGAATGTTAGCCCAGGGCCAGTCTTCCTCAGCTAAAAAAAAAAAAAAGAGGAGGATTGGCATCGGATGTTAGCTCAAGGCTGATCTTCCTCACAAGAAAAAAAAAAAGATTATCCATTTAAAAAAATTAATCTGAACTATACATGACTTTGAACCAGGAATAACACTATGAGTAGATTTTTATAGTGAAGAAATTGTCCTAGCCCATTTATGAGAGGTTTTTGGATGAAGCTTAGGAACATACAGTAGGTAAAATAATAACTGACAAGTCTAACTTATTACCTCCAAGGATCCAACTCAGTACAGAAGAGATGGCCCCAAGAAGGATGGGAGAGTCAACCGCTTGTGACCCCCACAGTACAAAGAAAAGCAGAGTTTTGTATGCATAAGATGATTTCTTATAAACATTACCACTGGCAGAAAGATTCGGGCAGCATCCATGCAGATCTCTTTGCAAGTTTAAATTGAAATCGTGGCATTGGGTTGGTCACATTGGGTTGGTCACAGTTTGTCAAGAGCTGGACTTCCCAATTTAGGACGTTCTGCCCTCGGTGCCATTACTTTCCAGGATACGGTTGCAAGAGTAAAGTGAGAAGAAAATTTACCAGCTGGCTAACTGTTCAACAAAGCTGCTGATGGGACATCACTAGTGTGTTAAGGCCATATTGGGTCCAGGTTTGGAGATCGGATTCTGGGAAATGAGTTCACACTAACCAAAAGCAAATAAACTAACAAGCAATCATATAGGCAAATGAGAGTTCAAAGGGAACTAGAGTGCTTGTGCCAACTGGTCAACCCACTCTATTTTTCCCCGGGACGCTATTTGAGAAACCAAATTAAGGTTTTTAAGCAAACAGTGTGAGCAAAGGGAGGTAAATGATGCTAAAAGTTAATATCATCAAACTTTGAAAGCATGCTGCTGCCTTCTTTCTAATACCTCTGCCAAGGGACCAGATTACTCAGGTGGGTGAGTTAAAGCATTCTGGCATCCCTTTCCCTGGAAGGCTGGAGATGCACGGGTGTACTATGTATACCGAAGTTCTCAAAGTGTAGTCTGGGGACCACTGGAGTCTCTGAAATCCTTTTTGGGATGTCTGTGAGGTGAAAATTATTTTCATAATAATACTAAGATGTTATTTGCCTTTCCTAGTTTTCTTTTCTCCAAAGGGTACAATGGAGTTTTCCAGAGGCTGCATGACATGTAATAGTCATCACTCTGACAGCTATCAGAAGGTGTGCTTGTGTATTGCTGTGTTTTAAAAATTTCTCCATTTTGATTTACTATACAATAAATATCAGTAGATATAACCCACAGTTTAAAAAGTTCTTTAGGGCACTCAATATTTAAGAACGTAAAAGGTTCCTAAGACCAAAAAGTTTAAGAGCCATTGATATAGACCATCATTCTCAGTCACCGTACTAGAACACTAGCAAACACCAGAAGGTTATTCTTTTTGATGAAATTTTGGAAACACCCTAGTACTATAGATGAAGACTCCTTAATGAGATTTAGGAAACACTCTATCTGACTAGGTACATAGTATTCAGATTACCTCAAAAGCTCCAAGTAATTGTGCTTGGGGCATGTATGCTCCTCTACTGCATGAGTATAGGTGTCCCAAACTCTCTTACTGGATATGTTAAAAAGGAAACATTTTTGTCTGTGATTTGTCTGTCCTTTGACAATTATCTGAAATAAGATCATAATTCACACATACAGCTTCTACCGTGAGAGGAAGTGGGTACTATTTTTGGAGTTCTTGAACTCCAACTGAACTGAAACCAAGAATCATAGCCTACCAGTAATATATGGCAATCAAGCAAGTTTTTCTGGTTTTGGAGGGTTGTTTTTGTGTGTGTATGTGTCTGTGCAAGAAATGAGGTCGATTTAGGCACCAAGCCATTTGTTAGATATTTCTGAAGCTCATTCTTCAAAATACAGTCAGCACAGAGGTTGGTTCTCACGTCAGACCAGTGTCCATTTAGTCAGGATCTTGGGATTCCACAAGGCCATTGCCTCCTAAGGAATGGAAGGTAATGGAAGGCCTTTTTAATATGAGCCCTCTTGAAGCTGGACATGGAGCATATGTGCCCATAAATATAACATTTGCAAGCCTAGATTTTTCCTTTGTCCACCTCCCACTGCTAACACATGGACCAGGACAGAGCTAGAGATATACAGCCTCAAACCAAAGTAATCAAACTAAAAAATACAAGCATTTGGTTTGGATTTGACTGAATAAAGGTTAGATGAACATCTGATATACACAAGGCACTAAAGAAGGTGGCCTCAGGAGGGCAAGACAGATAGTTCCTGTCCTCGAGGGTTGCAATAACTAGTCACTTGCCACTTTTCAGTTATTGCATCACAGTACCCTCTGTATCTACCAGAGTTAACTGACAGAGATAAGGACAGAGGGTGACCTCCATTTCTCTCCTTTATTCTTAATAGGCTGAATTCGTGAGGGACCTCCTGGAGTCGTCTCTGGCCCCTGCTCTGAGGGAAGAGCTGAAATAATTTTCACAGAAAATTCACGTCGTAGAAACAGCAGGATGTTATCTATTATAACACAACTGAGAATCTTTAACAAAATTAAATGATTGACACTCAAAATGTTCCATTGTAATCAATAAGTCTTTATAATGATGTAAATTAATCCATTTTGTCTTTAGGAGAAGCAAGTGAGAAGACAGTGGCAAGGGCTAGAATTCTAGCAACTCTTAGGAAGGCAAAATGGAGTCATCTTTTTGGCGATAGGAGGAAATTATGAGAAGGCATTAGTGTCAGAAACTGGCTTCGAGAGGTTGTTTTCTCTCTGCGAGTCTGGAAGGTGATGAGCTCCGACCACTCACTGCCTCATTGTCTTGTCCATTGGCTTCTTTCCGGACAAGTAAGAGAGTTGTGTCTCCTGCAGAGTTTTGTAGGCATCCGACAGCGTTCCATGGAAGACAGCTGTCCTGGGGCCCAGAATGGGCAGTCTGTAGTGAATGCTCTCTGGAGGACAGTGCAAGAAGAAGGAAGGACAAGGGCTGCTTAGATTCTATTTTTAAAGAAACCCAAAATAACCAAAGGTCACCAAAGACTTCTTCAACCTTATAAAACAGATTCAAAATTCACACAAGAATTCCTTTTAGCAGAACCATCTTATACCTCACAACATGAGGCTTTTACAAATCTTGTCAAAGAGGCCACAAAGGAGTACCTAGAAATAAAACTCAAGTTTTAGGAGTCATTGCCAATTAAATTAAAAATGAAGATAAAGTGTGTCTGGAGTTGTAACGTGAGTCAAAGGAAAAGAGGATTCAATTCTCAGAAGACTTTTCATGGACATGTATGTGCTTCTGCTCTTCAAACAAACAAACATGGTCTTACAAAAGGGCTACAGCAGGGAAAAAGTATATGCATTTCAAAGGAACCTTCATTTTATGAAATAATTTATTTTAAGGCTCCTTAAAATCCTCACCATCTTGACTTCTTTGAATATGATTTTATTTACAAAAAGATGGTTAATATTCAACTTTTCCAGAAGACACATTGTGAAGGAGAGTAAATCAGTGCGTGAAAAAACATCTTCCCATTGGAAGTCACTGAATCACTAAGGGAATTGGAGTCCTGAACTCTCTGGAATGAGCCCCTTAGTCAAGCTGAATGAGAGCTAAGAGATGTCACAAGATCACAAACCCAGGATCCAGTTCAGTCTCATCACAGTAATGAAAAGGAAACAGAGGTCCAGGGTCATAGGCCCTATGGACTGAGGATCAGAACCCAGATTTCCTTAATCCTAATCCAGTGCTCTTTGTACCATTATCATAACACTGTGCCAGGTGGTAGGCTCAAGTCAGGTGGTTAGCATCTCTACCAACATCTATTGACAACAAGAGCTGTGGGTGTCATGGAACTCTAGACTCAAGGCAAGAGTCAAGATAAACAAATCCAGAAGAAATCCTCATCACTTATAGAGACAGACGCTTTCCATGTACTTAGTTCTCACTAATAGTTACTGATAACATATAAATCTGGATTTAGCTATATCCAGAAAAATACCAGAAATCACTGTTGTGATCAACAAAATGAGTCAGACAATCATTGGCAGTAATGTTCACTGGGATGAGTCAAGCCATCTGATATTTGTAGCATGTCCACAGGCAACGTAGCACAGGTGGGTGGCAGCTTCGGCAATAAGCCACGAGTGCTGTAGTAAGGACATGTCTAAGTTGTATAAACCAGTGGGGCTGGGGCAGTGTCAGCAGTTTTTCTGGGTTGATCAAAGGTGAAGGCTGCTTGTACTGAGTGTCTGGCTCTTGGGGGCAGGGGTGAGGGGGTGAGCAAAATGCTTTTCTGGTTTTACAGGTGGGAACATGGAGGCCCAGAGAGTTTAAACAATTTGGCCAAGCCTGCACAGCAAAACTGAGGATCTGGACCCAAGTCTCATTGCTCTTAGGCTAGTGCTTTTTCCATAATCTCAGAGAGCACACACACAAGAGCAAAGCTCAGCTCAGAAGGGTCTCGATTGTAATCAACAGTAGATCTACCAGGCTTTAGCTCCTAGCCAAGTCCATAAGCACTCTCCCTGAAGCCCCACCTCCAAGATTACTATCCGTGGATGGACTCTGTGGGCAAGAACCAGGTCTGTGCAAGAACACAATATGCTGATCTTGTGTACACCAAGTCTAGCTCTTATACTGGTAACAGAAACACACTCCCAGGGTTAATAAATTGATGAAAGGCATCTTATCACATTGTCCTGTAGAATCAGAAAGTAACATTCTTGCTGAGGGAAGGGCATGTAATTCTGTGTGTGTATGTTTCATTCCTTTGTGAGGCAGGCCTGAAAACATCCAGGTTCAAAGGAAACTCTAAATGAGTGTGTGGCTGGTACAAAGAACCCTGAAACCAACTGCACATGCCGGTCACCCAGTGTTCTCTTGAATTTGAGAGAATGAGGTGGTTGCAGACCCAAGAATGGCAGAACGAGGAGCTTTCATTGGATGGATGCTCCTAGTTCTTGGCTCTTCAGTCCACTTTGGTTAAATGAGAGCCATGAACTAGGCCAATATTTTTAGATACATAAGAAGGGATTCATCGGGACTAGCAGTCTTTCACTCCACTAGAGTAGATGTCTCCAAACCTCAGCTGTTACTTGAGTCTCTGGTCCTCCCTTTTTGCACCCTTTAAGTTGTCCCTTCTTCCTTTTTTTTTTTTTGTGAGGAAGATCGGCCCTGAGCTAACATCTGATGCCAATCCTCCTCTTTTTGCTGAGGAAGACTGGCCCTGGGCTAACATCCATGCCCATCTTCCTCCACTTTATATGGGACGCCACCACAGCATGGCTTGACAAGCAGTGTGTCGGCGCACACCCGGGATCCGAACTGGTGAAGCCCGGGCCACTGCCGCAGTGGAGCACACGCACTTAACCGCTTGCGCCACCGGGCCGGCCCCACAAGTTGTCCCTTCTATCCTCAAATTTCCTTTCTTGATGCCTTCTCCGTTCAGTTCTGGCTCTAGCTTCCCTGCAACCTCCCAGGGCTTAAACTTTCCCATCTGTATTAAGTGAAGAATGTGATACTGATTTTCCTTATTTTGTGTATCAAATGAAAGAAAAACTGAAGGTGGCTTCAGTTAATATGGCAGCAAATGAGAAGATGGGCAGTTACTAAAGTGACAGCCTACACTGCACTAAACCCTTGAATTATATCATCCCCAAGAATGACCCACTCCCACCTTCACCAGCCCAGTGTTGGCTTCTCTAAAAGATGAGACTTAGGCCAATGCTGAAGCTGGAGAGAGAGCTGCTATCTTTTTCCTATTAATAGCAGGTGAACATAAGAAGAGCATTGGGCAGCTGCCAGGAGAAGGCACGTGTTTTAGGGAGCCTGTGGGGTGGAAAGTTCAGGGCATTGGTGAGGGCATTCCTGGGGCGTGGGGATGCCGTTTCCTTCTCACCTTAATTGGTACTATCAGGACTGCCTGAGAAGGAAATTATCTACTCTGTGCTCCATCTCTATGGAAATTCTTCAGCAAGTGGATTATGGGGTTTTTTTAGAAAGAATGGAGCAGAGCCATGTGGTGTGGAGAAGACCTGGCAAGGAACATGACATGGACAAAAGCACGTGAGGCCTGAAGAGGGGACAGGTAGGGCTGGAGTGAAGAGGGGGCTGTGGACCAACCAAAACAAGTCAATAAGCAGTGTGTGAAAGAGAAAAAGATGGAGAATGGGAATTTGTTCAGAGAATTTAGAAATTATCTTAGGGATTAAACTTTTCATTCTACTACTCTGGGGGTAGCATGTCTCCCACTACAAGTAGTCCCAAAGGAAGCAAACCTGTTGGAATGTCACCACGGGAAGGTTTAGACACAGTCTGGGCTTTTGGTGGATGAAGACTCATCATTCTGATTGGAAGAAGCAAGAAAACACATTAGTTGGTTGGCTAGGTCTTGGTGGAAAGGAACGTGTCGTTATGTATTTTAAAACACAAATGGTTTCCTGAATCCAGTACCTGTTAACATGGAGCTCAGGCCACTTTCTAGCAATGTGAGATGACTGGGCCAAAGACCACTGCTTCTCAAGCTTTTTTCACTTAGTGATATTTTCATAGATTTTGATAAAATCTTCATTTAAAAAAATGTTTTATTTCACTATCAGAACATATATGGTCTGAAAATAGATGGGATTAAGGAAAGAATCCTGTACTTTCCAGAAAAAAATATAACAACTCTTCCAGATCAGTAATCTACCCTTCAAGTGCAAAACTGAGAATATTTTGGTTAGAACCTTCCAATTTTAGAGAAAATGTCTTGACCACATCTTATTTCTCCTGGTGGCTAAGGCTGTGGAAGTGATCCTCAACTAAAATGTATATGATCCCAAGCCATTTCTACATTAGTTCAAGTTGCTTAATTTCTAAAAACTGACAAATTTGTAAATTTTGATGGGCTAAGTCTCTACACTCATTTCATGGTTTCTACTTCCACAAAGATTTTTCAAGATTATTTTTACTTTGCTACCAAAAATATGGCCAGTCCAGCCAGTTTATTTTATTCAATTGCCATTGGAGGACTCACAGGGACTAAGAAAAAGAAAAATCCCTTCTATTACTCATTTTGGGCGAACAGGAAGGTGCTATTTGTAAGACTGAATAGTTTAAGATCTGTCTATACTATAATTCAAAAATATATGTCTATCCACTCATATTTCTTTCCTTCATTCCTTCCATTCAATGAACATTATTTAATTCCTACAATGGCTATAATTAAAGTCACTTTTATAAAACTATTATTTCAGTGAGGACAATTCCACCTGCCTATATATGTGGTGTGAATTAAAAATTGTAGGACAGATTTTATAAGCTACAAAGAGAACCAGGACCTTACTTTATAGTTATACTAGCTAAATATCAAACAGAAGTGGTATGTTTTTCTTTATTACATTGAAAAAAAATGACCAATCTAATGATACTTCTGGATGGTATTGACATGATTTTAGGATTGGTTCAACCCTTGGTCTTAGCTTTAAAGAAATAAGAGCTATTCATTTAAAATAAAACCAGCTAATGATTTGGGATTTGCGACTTTATTTAAAGGATCAAACTTGAAAGATAAATAAATTGGGTCAACAAATTTCAAAAGTCTCTTTTATAAAAAAGTGAACTTTTGCTCAGAAATCCCTGATAGTTCAGTTTTCCATTTAAGGTCCGTAAGGAGGGGCCGGACCCGTGGCTTGGCGGGTGGGTGCGAGCGGTCCGCTACTGGCGGCCCGGGTTTGGATCCCGGGGGCACACCAACGCACTGCTTGTCCAGCCATGCTGAGGCGGCGTCCCACATACAGAAACTAGAAGAATGTGCAACTATTACATACAACTATCTACTAGGGCCTTGGGGAGACAAAGAGAAAAAAAAAGGAGGCAATAGATGTTAGCTCAGGGCCGGTCTTCCTCAGCAAAAAGAGGAGGATTAGCATGGATGTTAGCTCAGGGCTGATCTTCCTCACAAAAAAATAAATAAATAAATAAAGTCCATAAAGAATATTTATTAGAATTACTTTTATTGTGATCTGATATAAGAGTTCCTTAAAAGTATAAGGTCAGAGTAGGTGAATGTTATCAGTGCTGGAGCCTGTAGTGCTCAAATACTTATTTCCTCCATGACCCCGCCTCACCGGGCCAGGACCCAGTACATGAATTCAAGGCATCAGAGTCTACATCTCAGCTTGGAACAAAGGGCCCTGAAGTCACACAAGGAATCATAACCTCTATTGCTGTCCAACATAAGGTTACAAAAAGACCTATTTATTTTTCCGCATTATTGCTCTCTGTATAAGGAAAAACAAAGTAAAGATTGCCATTAAATCACATAAAACTTTTTTGATTGGTCATATGCAAAAGTGGCTGTGTGTCTACATTGGTCATATGTAAAAGAGACTGTGTGTCTACATTCTAACCATCTGTTGCAAGGCAAGTCTACCTACATTGGTACCTTATCCAGGGTGAGTCCATGTTTTGAGTTTTTTAATAAAGTAAAACTGAGTCTTTCTTCCCTGATAGTTAAATACAGAAAAAAAACTCTGAAATCCAACTAATCAAAATTCTGACTGGATTTTATTTTTGATATACTTGATCTTGATAAGAAAGCAATAAATGACAATCAAATAAACTGACAGGAATTTCAGTTACTAAAAAGTCACAGAGGACATCCTGGACTCAGGACAGATTATCGTAATCTCCCATACCTTCTGATTTAGATAGGTCATCTACCTGGAAATTGTGTAATAGTTCTGCCTATCAAAGAAATCTCTTATTCTATTACTTGTACTGTGCTTGTGAAGGTGGAAAAGGAAGATTATACTTTCTACAGTACTTTCAATAGTTGTTCAAGCAAAAAGGTGAAAACTTTTTTGGTCTAACTGTTTGGTTTAAGCAGAAAATGAAACCAGTCGAGAAGCCCATTCCCTAAGCATTGCCTAAACATTCTACTTACTATGTTTTTCAATCCACTATCCTGTGTCCCCAAACTAATATAATCAGAATGAAAGTCATGTCCCGCTTTAAATCTTTGACTTACCTACGACTCATAAAATTTTTAAAGGATAGTTTCAGATCACCTGGGACTATCATAGTTCTTGGTTGTATCTGAGGAAGAAAGTCTTATTTAGAACATTGCCCAAAACTGCATTCTAATTTAAATAAATGACAACTTAGCAAACTCAAGTTGTATTTAATATCAGAGTCATTCATACATCCTTTTGTGATATGCATGGCAGAGGGGATCATCCTGTCCCCAAGTCATAGGGTCTTTGTTCTTCCCTGATCATCAGAGTATGAAGTTAGACACCGCAAGATGAGTAAGCCTTCCAATCGCCTTTGCTCAGCGACCTCCCAACAGTCTTCAGGCCTCTGGTTAACTGTCACTTTCTCACAGACACTGCTGACTCCTGGACTACTGTGAGGTGGTCCTCTGCCTTATGTTCTCACATTCCCTGGGCTTACTCTATCAGAATGCTCAGAAGGTTTTTACTGTATTGACCTGCCTGGTTTCCTTGATAGACTTTCAGCTTCATGAGAGCAGAGACCACGTCTTTATTTTTGTATTTCCAGTCCTAACACAGTGCCTGTTTAAGAAATATTTGTTGATCAAATTAGTGAATGAATGAATCCACTTTGAGGCTCACTTGAAAGTTTTAAGTGTGCCCTTCATACAGGGCTAAAATCGATTACACAGTTACAGTATTCCCAATTAAGAGATCACTTTCTTGAACTTTTTCAGATTTATTACTAGCACTAGATGTTGGTTTTCTTTTGGAGATTGTATTTTCACTAAGAAACACTTTTTTTTCCATTATTTCTCAAAAAATATTATAGCCATGACAATGAAAAGATTAAGATCTGCTTGTCAATTTCTGCAAGAGAGGCATCTGGGATTTTGAGAGGGATTGCACTGAATCTTTAGATCAATTTGGGAGAGTATTGCCATCCTAACAATATTAAGTCTTCCAATCCAAGAACATGGGGTTCTTTCTATTTAATTAGGTCTTCTTTAATTTCTTTCTATGATATTTTATAGTTTTTTATGTACAAGTCTAGCATTTCTTTTGTTAAATTTATTCTTAAGTATTTTAATTTTTTAACGCTATTGTAAATGGAGTTGTTTTCTTAATTTTGTTTTTGGATGGTTCATTGCTGGTATACAGAAATATATTAATTTTTGTAGCTTGATCTTGTATCCTGTAATTCTGCTGTACTCATTAATTAGCTCTAATAGTTTTTTTGTGCATCTTTTAGGACTTTATATAAGATCATGTCCTCCGCAAATATAGTTTTAGGTTTTCCTTTCTAATCTGGTGCATTTTGTTTGTTTTTCTCACCTTAATTGCCCTGACTAGAATGTGCAGTACAATGTTGAACAAAGTGACAAGAACGGACATCTGGTCTTACTCCTGATCTTAGGGGAAAAGATCCAGCTTTTCACCATTGAGTATGATGTTAGTTGCGGGTTTTTCATAGATACTCTTTATCAGGTTGAGGAATTTCCTTCTATTTTTAGGAGTCTTTTTATATCTTCCCCAGCATCTCCCTTCAACCCCCTGCTGAGAAAGGAGGGGTCTCAGTAACTATAGCAGATGTGCAGTCCCCCAATCTCCTGACCGAAGGAAGTTGAGGTGCCACTGCACATAGTGAGGGTATTTCACACTTATTTTCTAACTTTCTATAGTTGCCCACCAGGCTCTGCGTGCACCGGTTCTGACAGCAGTAGGGAAGGGCCCCTGGGCACTTTTGTGTTTGAGGCCCTTCCTTTTGGAATCTGCAGCCAACAGCAAAACCACAGCATGTGGTTCCACTCAGTGAGGCCTGGGCAAGGGCGAAGGTCAGAGAGGTCTTGAGAAAGAGAACGGCTGCTGGAGTCCTGAGTGAGCCAGCTGGCCAAGGCCAGCATAGGCCTGGGGTCAGCGCATTCTAAATGTGGACACAGTGATTCCAGGAATAAGGCCAGGAGAAATCCCAGTCCTCGTTTCCCAGATTCCCGTCAATGCTAACAGTGAACACTGTAATCCTAATTATGTAGAACGTGAACATAGATTGTAACGTCCAGGTACACCCTTGTTGGTAGCTTCAGTTACATTTCCAAATCCCACACAAAAATTTCGCAAACCCATACCCTACTAGTCAGAAGCACTTTCGCCAGGAACTCACTGAAGGAGCCTCTCTGTCTCCTGTCTTTCTTCCACTCCTTGCCCTTCCTCTTACTGCACATCTAGCCCCACCCAGCTCCCCGAGTCAAAGGAGAATCACAGAACAGCAGAACTGAGGAGACCCTTCCCCAGCGCTTACCCCAACCCTAACTGTTGACCTAAATTAACCTTCAACCCAAGCCTGATGCTTACCCTTACTGACCCTCGCCCTAACCCCTAAACTGACCCGAGTCCTACCTCTAGCTGTACAGCTCCCTCTGGAAGCAGGCCTCTTTCTTCAGCAACTCTGACACGGCAGAGCTTGTCCTTGGTGCCTCCACATCCCTCTGATATCCTCTTTCTTCTCCTCATACTCCCCTCCCCCAAACCTCCACCACCAGTTACAGACACCCCCACTAACTAGAAAGTGCTATAGAATCTGTCCCCAGCTTTTTTCCTGACTGAATTAATGATAAACCCAAGACCAAGCTGCTTGTTTCATGGCTGCAGTGGTGGCGGCAGATTGTGTTGTGTGTGCTGTGCTGGGGACATGTTAAGGCGGGAGAAGAAGCTTCACAACCCTCTGAACCTCTATAGGTGCCGCTACCTTAGGAGCCCAGAGCAAAGTGGCTCATCTCGTCTCTTCCCCTCTGGCCCAACCAACCTTGGCTCATCTTTCAGTTTGTTGAAAATGGGGAGGGTTTATCATATCGTGCCAGATGATGGTGCTCCCAGGGCCAGCAGTTCCTCATTTGCAGCCCTTATCAAGGCCCTCCCTGCAAGGGGCCCCATCATGGTCTCTCTCTATTGGGCTTTTGTGGGGGAAAGGCTAGTGCTGCGCCCTGAGATGCCCATGCCCATCTCTGATATCCTCCTGGCTTACCATTTTTATTTCTCGACATGTGGAGCACAGCTGCTTGTTTCTGATCAGCACGGGGTCACTCTGGTTCCTGCTGACCTGAAGGGAGAGAGAGACAGAGACAGGTGAGGAAATGGTATGGTATCTGGAGCAGCAAAGACGTGGGAAGGGAGTGGAGCAGTGAGGGAGGTAACAGTCATTCCTTCCATAAAACAGAGATGGACACTCTGGTCTCAGCCCCATCCCCGGTGGAGGTTGAATCTAGGTTTGGCTGCAGCTGGTAGGATCAGAAAAGGTTTAGGCTGGAGGGGGTGAGCCACAGACTAAGCGGTGGCCTCAAGCCTCCTGCATACGGTGGTACAGGTATAAGACAGCTGGCAGAGGCAGATGAGGCTGGGGGCTGAAATCCAGGGAGGTCTGTCTTTCCAACCTGAGCACCCATGTCTGAGGGACTGCACTCTCTCGTAGGTGGCACATTTTCCCCATTTCACACAAAGGCTCCGCCATGTGGACTAGCGGAGGACGTCTGAAGGCCTAAGAAAAATGAAGAGAAGACTTCTCTTCTGCAAACCTCCTTTCGCTGGCCCCTCCCAAGCGTTATCCCCTTTTCCCACACCTTTACTCTGGCCCCACATCAGCTTTCAAGCATACACCGGCCAGCACTACTTGGCCCTTCTGCATGTCCTGAGAGCCATGGATTAAGCCATAAGCAGAAGTGGAGCTGATGTGGGGGTCCTGAGCCCCCTCCCTCTTCTGGGCTGTCCCAGCCTGGGCAAAGAAACCCACTGCAGGGAGAGTGGGCGCACTCTGTCTGCTCATTGCAAACACTGGCTTTTTTTTTCTTTTTTTTCTTTTTTTTTTTATTGCGGTAAAGTTGGTTTATAACATTATACAAATTTCAGGTGTACATCATTATACTTGGATTTCTGTGTAGATTACATCATGTTCTCCACCCAAGACTAATTACAATCCATCACCACACACATGTGCCTAATCACCCCTTTCGCCCTCCTCCCTCCCCACTTCCCCTCTGGTAACCATCAATCCAATCTCTGTCTCTATGTGTTTGTTGTTGTTGTTTTATTTGTTTTGTTTTGTTTTGTTTGTGAGGAAGATAGGCCCTGAGCTAGCATCCACTGTCAATCCTCCTCTTTTTGTTGAGGAAGACCGGCCCTGGGCTAACATCCGTGCCCATCTTCCTCTACTTTATATGGGACCCCACCACAGCATGGCTTGATATGCAGTACATGGGTCCGCACCTGGGATCCAAACCCACAAACCCCGGGCCACTGAAGCAGAGCGTGTGAACTTAACCACTATGCCCCCGGGCCGGCCCCTGTTTGCTGTTGTTTTTATTTTCTATTTATGAGTGGGATCATATGGTATTTGACTTTCCTCCTCTGACTTATTTTGATTAGCATAATACCCTCAAGGTCCATCCATGTTGTCACACATGGCCAGATTTCATTGTTTCTTGTGGCTGAGTAGTATTCCATTGTGTATATATACCACGTCTTCTTTATCCGTTCATCCTTTGATGGGCACCTAGGTTGCTTCCACGTCTTGGCTGTTGCAAACACTGCTTTTTTTCTGACTTCACTTCTGCCAAAGGGTGGAAGGAAGGGCTTTGGAGCATTTATACCTGCAACATGAGGTTCTTATTCACATCTCTGATGAAAGCTTGCTTAGGGAACAACTGGGAGCTTGAGGCTAATATTCTGTCTGAGGATTCTTTCTTACCCTTCCTCATTCACACTGACATCAGAGTCCTGAGATTTGTTCATAGGAAGCATAGACTATGGGGAAGAGGAGCGCTACAGAGACAAGCAAGTGATCACTCTGAACCGAAACCTTCTCCTTCCATTTGTTCGGAACCTTCTCCTTCCATTTGTTCGGCTTGTTGCCCTATCACTACACGTGTGCACACCTGCATCCTGGCCCGTTCCTGCTGCCCTGGGAGCTGTGGGGAACAGGAAGAGGAGGACTATATCTATGCCACGTAGCGAGTACCTGGGTGTCCCCCTAAGGTTACCTTTGCTGGATTGGTCTGCAAGTAGCTTCGTCCTGTGAGAGACATATGGCGTTTGGGTGAGGCATTATTGGGGGCTTGAGGACTGAAAACTATGGACAAAGTTGGATTCTTTTGACAAATATTTAAAATACATTTCATTTTTATAGGCCATTTTAAAAGAATCAACTCAGTATTACAGTGTTGTGGGCTGGTATGTTAAAGTATGAGTGTGAATGACTAGCTTCATTCATTCAACAACAAACAGTTATTGTGAGGCCACCGTGTGGAGGGTGCTGTGAAGGGGTCACAAAGACGAATAAGACAAAGTTTCTGGCCCTAAAGAAGACCAGGGAAGAATACAAATTCATTCATTTGCCCATTCATTAGGTACTGGGGGCACTGAGATAGATAAGACACAGCTTCTAAGCTGTCACCACCAGCAGACTGTGTACCAAGAAGTACAATGGTGTGGAAGGTACTACAATAGAAACAGAAGCCACAGTGAAACCGAAAGGAGTCTTGAACTCACCTGGGTGGGGGACGGGGCATAGAGGGAAGGGTCTGAGAAGGGTTCAAAGAGTAGGCAATGCTTGGTAGTGTTGGAGGGGTGAATGACGAGTTGGGTGGGCATTCCAACCTGGAAACACTGCAACAACACAGAAGAATCACCTAGCAAATCTGCTTCAGGTAACTGAGGATAGCTTGGAATGGCCGATTGTCTGGTGGGAGGAGGGGTGGAGCGAGAAGAGAGGCTGGAGAGGAGGTGCCCGTGTGTGCTGACTCCTCTGCTTCTGGGCTGATTCAAACTTCTACCATATCTTCCCTGATACCCCTGGGGGTGGTATCTCCTGGGGTTTGGCTCTTCCCTCCATCCCTCACATCTGTGAGTTCTGAGCCTAAGACAGCTCTCTGAAACTGCAATTCAAGGTTGGACACAGTAGGTATCATAGAAGAAGCAATGATACTTAGAAAAGAGAGAGACCACGTCCCACTGGAGGAACCAAGAAGGGCTTCGAGAGGTGGCATTTGCACTTGGTCTGAAAGGATGAGGAAGACCTGGACAGGTGGAGGTGAAAGTGGGAGAATCCTTGGGCAGGCTTGTTTTTAGTGAGTTACAAGCAGATTCTTGTCTTTCCTGCAGTTGATTCCTTCACCTTTCCAGACTTCTGGTTTCTCCATAAGAGTACTATTAGACCCTACAGGGAATGGGATCACAGAGATCACTACAAGTCAACTAACAAACAGATGTGAGCGATCTCCAAGGTGCGTGGCAGCATCTTGCCAGGTCTTTGACAGCTGTGACTGTGGCTCCAGAGTCCCACGACCCTGACGACTGTCATCTCTCGGAACCTGAAGGACGACATGTTTTATATATTGCCCTACCTGGCCTTGTCGACTCCTCATCTTTTAAGATATAGCTTCGATATTACCTTCTCAGGAAATCTTTCTCCTGACCCTCTTACCACTTCCCACCCCCCCATCTGAGTTGGGTGCCTGCCTCTCTGAGTCCATCATAGATTTGGTACAGCTTTTTGTACTGTTATTCTGTTTTTTCTTTTTAAACATGTTTGTTTCCTCCACCAGGCTGAGTTCTTTAAGAATGAGAACACGTCTCACACATCTTTGTATTCCTAGAGCCTATCACAGAATCTGGCACACAGTAGGCATTCAACACATGTTGGCTGAATGAATGAGCCATTATGAGCATTTTTAACTATCAGGTATAGATATAGACACAACCAACATATATACACACACCTAAAACACAAAATACACATGCGTGTGAAGATCACTATTATAACACTGTCTTCAGGGGAGTTACGGGACATCAGTGTGCAACAAATTCACCTGACACGCTGTGCTGGGCAAAGGCATCGGCCGGGAGCCCAAACTGCTGGGTTCCAGACCCTGGAGAGTCTACAAATAAGGTGATACAGACAATTTGGGATTCCATGTTCTCTAGGCCTCAGCTTTCTCTCTCCTGTCTTGCTTCGTCTCCCAGCCCTGAAACCAAGGTCTTTTCCTTCTGCTGCATTCCCTTCTCACTCTTGGTTTCCTTAAGGCCAGCTCAGCAGCAGGAGCAGGAATGGAGAGCGAACTGGCCCGTGGTTCAGAGCACAGGCCCCTGGCTGTATCATCTGTAGAGTCAGAGCCACCAAGAAAAGAGGCTCTGAAACGTTACTGGGGTTCTCATTTCCCAAGCAGCTGTCCCCAGGACAGCAGTCGACACTTGTGATGGGACCGTGAGAGCGATCTTTGGGAGCCTGGCCAAGGTACGATGCAGATTTCATCCAGGCCCCAGAAGCCAAAGCCTGCTCCTCACACTTCACAACTGGAAACATTCTAACATTTGAGGCCAATATCTGCCAATGTTCCTAAGATATGGCTCGTGGCCCAAGTCCTTGGCCTCCTTGAGTCTTTGGTAAAGAAACAGAGAAAGACGTTTCTCTCTCTCCCTCTCCCTCCCTCCACTTTTCTCCCTCTCACACACACACCTGTCCACATACCAAAAACTGAAAATGTAAGCCCCAGATGGTGATTTTAAAAATAGCCATGGCAAGCATGTCTTGAAGAGCACTGACAAACCTGCCTCTGTGCTTCTTGCCCTTCAACACCTCTATTCCATTTCTCCTTTCCACTCCCGCGTTGACTGACAGAGACCTCACAGGTCACCTAGCCCAATTCTTTCAACAAACACAACGAGGAAACTGTGGCCCAGAAAGCTTAAGAGATTTGTCCAATAGCACATCTATTTAGTTTCAGTCAGCCAGAAAGTTCTTTGGATAAAAGGTCAAAAAAAGACTACCTTGGGCCAGCCCCAGTGGCCTTGTGGTTAAGTTCAGGGCACTCCGCTTCAGTGGCCCGGGGTCGGTTCCCAGGTGTAGACCTACACCACATGTCTATCAGTGGCCATGCTGTGGCAGCAGCTCACATACAAAATAGAGGAAGACTGGCACAGATGTTAGCTCAGGGCAAATCTTCCTCAGCAAAAAAAAAAAAAAAAAAAAAAAAGACTACCTTTCCTATATCCCTTGGAATCCAAAAAGTGTTGGTCAGAGAACTATGTGCAATATTCAAAAAGAACCCCATGATAATTGCACATTTTCCTGCTCTCTGAAAATACCAGCCATCTCAATTGAAGAGTAAAGCTGAATATAGTTTTTAAAATCCTCTTACTGTGCACTAGGAAAAATTTCAAACATATACAAAATAATTGACAGCCATGTGTACCTACCATCCAGACTTATTAAACTTGGTTTTTATTACCATCATTATCTGAGGTCAGTGGTGTTCATTAGTACTTCATTTCCAGTTATATGTGTCTGATCAATATAAACAGGGAAAGGACTTAGGAATATGCAAGGTAGTTCCCTTGGTGGTCACGAGCTTTCAAAAACTGAGACTCAATGAGAGAGAAATAACAAAACGAGTTCTCGGTGGTGAGAATATTAGAAGTCACCCTCCTCCACCTTTCCCAGCTACGTCTCTGCTACGGCATGATGTCCTTACCCAGGGCTTTTGGTCACAAGTCTGCTAAAAGCAACATAAATAAGGCTCTTATCTTTACTCTGACTCGTCAGACTGGAAGAACAAACCCAGATCAAAGAGAGCGGAGAGGGAGTGGGGCAGGAATGGAGAAAGCGGGCAGCATGTAATACCCGATGGGTAACTGGGGGCTCTAGCTCAGTCACACCCAACCCCAGCAAGAAGGCAAAAGGGTTCCAGGGTCTCCCGTGGCACCTCTCCAGCTCGCCCACACACATCTGCTCTGCCTTGCTGTGGCTCTGAGTAAGTCACCTCTTGGCCTCAACTGTCCAACTATGAGACGACCCTTTCCTATGTCACAGCATCTTGGGGAGTCATGAGTTGATGCCCTTAAATGGCAGGTGAAAGTCGTGCCTAATAAAGAAGCCTCTCCACAGTAGGTGTTTAGACGGGGAAATACTTAGGCTTCATTTCTTTCTCTTGGTTTTCTATTTTTCTTCTTTGTTAGCTCTGCCTCTCCTCCTCTATTTCCTTTTTTGTATTTTTGGTACCCCTCCCTCTCTGTATGTCTCTCGGCTTCTGGGGTCTTGCTGTTTGTCGCCCTCTCCCTGTCTTTCAGTCTCTGCGCCTGTTTTCTGTCTGTCTCTCTGTCTCTTCATCAGGGAATACTGCTGCAGACACACAGACACCTGCCTCTGCACGGGACTGCTCCAGGGCAGGGGAGGAATGCCACTTGGAATATGCATGTTCAAAGTTCTGCCCTTTGACCTGTGACAGTGAGGAGGAAGGGAGCCAGGTGGCAGGACCTTTGCACCTATGCCCAAGGGCCAGGACCTCTGGCTGGCTGCAGGGCTCTTAGCAGGCCCCTGATTTAGAGGATGAAGGATGACATAGTGTCCACAGTGCATTCCACTCCTGCGAGATACAACACAGTCCTTCCAGAAAAGAGCAGCTGCTGGCGGAGCCCGTGTTTATCTCACAGCATACGTGTGCAGGCCTTCATGCTCACAGCTGACTCTGTGTTCTGAGATCTGAGGAGGTGTGAGCGACAGGCAAGGATCAGACTTGAGGTAACTGCCAGGTGTCCCAACAAGACAGGGATCCCAGGTTCCCTGTGAAGGGTGGCAGAACAGGCCTCTGCTAAATATGCTACTTCGGCATAAGGATTATTTCGAGCTCAAGGCACTTATAAAAAACAGCAGATGCAAGAAGGGCGCTCTGACCCTCCTCCTTTTCCTCCTAAAAGGAGGAGATAAAACACCATGTGTAAGATGTCCTCCTTACACCAGGGGAAAAGCAACATTCTTATCATCAAGGACAAGAAGTTAAAGCCGAGGGAAGTCTGTACAAACAGACCTTGTTTAAATAATTCTTATCTTCTTTAGTCTCCCATATATTTTGGTTACTTTTCCACAATTGCCTCTCTCCGTTCAACCTAGTATAAAAACATTTGGGTCTTCATTTCTTATGAGGGCTCTCATGTCATGTAAAACTTCTATTATATAAATTCGTATGCTTTTCTCCTGTTAATCTGTCTAGGTCAATTTAATTTTCAGGCCCGGCCAAAAACCCTAAGCCTCTACACCGGCTTGCCTTTCCAAACCGCATGGGCAGCTCTCTACACACACACCCACACACCCACACCACACCCACACACCCACACCACACCCCCCCCCACACACACACCCACACACACACACACACTGGTGGAGGGTCAGCCACCGACAGGGTAAGGGCGAGCTATGCTCCAGTTCTCCCTTCCCAGGAGGAGTAATGGATCTGTGACCTGCTGGGTGGAAACTGGCTCCCGGCCTCAGCCCATTGGCCAAGCGGCTTGCTCTTGGCTGCCGTCTACTGGCCATCATGAGTATTGCAGCCATGAAATTCTAAGACCCGCTGAAGGTGGGCCTCTCACAAGCCCTGGTCATTATTAATGCTTCCCGCCTCCTCCTGCCGCCCAGCCCAGCTGGCGCCTGGAGATGGCCTAGTGCACTGAGACTGAGAGCAAACCTGAGATGAGGAGGCGCTCGGTGGCAGAGGAGAGCCTGTCTCAATAGGAAGTTCAGCCTGAGTGACTAGAGGCTTTCTTGCTGCTTCTGCAGCAGCTGCCAAGTCGATTCTGTCCCGCTCAGCCCCCTCCGGGCATCACCGCGGCACTCTCACCTGCTCGCCTGTCCAGGTGTTGGCGGGATTTATGTGGTGACTCAAGCACAGCCCTGGCCCTGCCGCCCCTGTGCTGGAAACGGGACCGTCTCCTCGCCGCTCTTGGCCTCTCGGGCCCTCTGGCTCTGGCTGTGCCCACCGGTCCTCTTGGCTCCCGCCATGTGAGCGCGCGGGCCTGACGCCGGTCGGGCCTCAAGCGCTTCCCGCGCGCGCAGTCTCCGCGTTTTTGCTCCCCTGGCTCTTCCCTCCGCTTGTGGAAGAGCTCCCAGATCCAGCGCAGATGCCGCTTCCTCCTGAATCCTGCCCTCGGCTCCATCCCTGCTCACCCCTCCCCAACCTGCAGGCGACCCTCCCCCCCCACACACACACTCTGCCCCTCTCTGATACTTATGTGCGGACGGTGCGGACCTGTCCCGTCCGCCCACTCGCTCGTGTAGACGGCATCTGACTCGCTCGTCCCTGTACGTGTATTAAGCAAACCAGACGGGCTCCGCGAGCACCTGTCCACTGACGCGAGGGCTGGTCACACTGCGGCTCCCGGCAACCGAGCGCTCCCTGCGAGCGGCGCACCGTGCCGAGCGCGTTAGGAACACCGCCGCGTGCACTGCCCACGGGCACCGTTCAGGTGAAGAAACTGCTCAGTCCCCAGTTCCCTCTCTTTCTCCACCTCGGGGAGGTGCTGACCTCATAAGCACTGTTAATGTCTATGCAGCACAGTGTCACAGAGAGTCACTCAGCAGCCTGTCATGGTTGATTTCTGTGAGGTGGAGGGGGGAGGAGGAGTTTTTATGTGAAATTCCATGGGTGTGGGGCTGTAGGTGGGAGACAGGGGGTTCGCGGTGGCGATGGGAGGGGCTTAGAGACTCCAGAAACGGCCTGGTTCTGGACACAGGCTGCCGTCTCAGCGCAGATTCCTCAATGTGAAGTTTTTTGGTTTCCCTTTTGGCGATGCTAACCTCATGCCTCGAGTCTTAGTTCTAGAGGACAGATGCCCTAAGCACTGGGGGCCAGGTGAGGCCTCCATGAATGATACTTCATTCAGCAACCATCTACTGAACACTGATGATGTTCCAGGCACCCGGCTGTGCTAAGGAGATAGGACATGCCTTTGTATTCACATTCTGTGCCATCCTAGAACTAGCTATAGGTTTCTTTTCAATTAAAAAAAATTGAGTACCTTAGATAAGACATCTGGAACTTGAAACAAAATTGGCAAATTCATATCCTTCTTGGATGAAACCAGAAAAGTGGCAGAGGCATGAGGAGATCTGAGTAATCAAAACAAGAGCAAGTTAGAACCATATCCCCTGGGTTGAAGAGCTAGGCCTTTGGTTGTTTCAGAGAGAACCCAAGAGACACTCTGAGGAGTTGCCCCCCACCTCAGTCCCAGAGGGCCCAGGCCAGTCTGGAGCTCCCAAAGGATGGCTTTCCTCTTAAGTCACTCTGGCTTCTCTGCCCCTCTTGTTTGGAACTAATCAAAGCCGGTTGTGGATTGTCAGAGACAGTATACAAATTAAGGCAGGAAAAAAACTGGTCATAAAAGCAGATGTGTAATGGGTGAAATGCACCCAGATCGCCTTCCTGAAAAGGCTTCGTAGGAGTCACTGATGTCTAACAGTGCCTGCCCGTTCATGCTTGGCTGGCTTTCTTGGAGTCACGACCCTGCACACTGAAACAATCCACCCACTTCCTTCCATGGACCATCTCCCTCCAACTACTCTTTTCCTCTGGAACATTCTTTCTTTCCAGTCAGCAGGTGAAGCAGTGATGCTACAGGGGTAACACCAGCCCTCTCCACAGGATGAACCACCTCGCTGGCCGGTGTGGTTCATTTTATTAGGGTTTAAGGGGTGGAGGCCTGCAGGGGCCTGGTCACCATAAACTGCATGTGTGTGCAGCTCCATGCATGCCCCTGGCATCCAAGAAATGGAAACTCGGAATGCTGGTAGTTCTGCCAAGAGCACCTCTCCTCTCTAATGAGGAAAGATTCCATTATCCATTGTTCATTTATAACAAAGGCATGTGTAGGGGTTTGGTGTTCACTAGGCGTTTGTTGTTGCATTCTGCTCTCCATTTTCCTGGGCCCTGGGAGAGCGGGGGAGGCCAGTCTGGCCCAGCTCCTTCACTGCCTTGGTCTTTGACCTGTGAACAGCCTGCCTTGGACTTGACACCCAAATGCTGACCAGAGGCCACTTTAGAACTGTTTCAGTGCACAGTAATCTCAGATAAACAGGATCTCAGCGCGACCCGAGGGCTTCCGAGACCAACAGCGAGTGTGGCTTCCTCAGGCCTGTCTGAGCCAGCCCTCCGCGAGGGAGTGAGTCTGTGGTGCGGGCGGGCCCTGACCTTCAGAACCAGGCCTCACCTCCGGCCCGCGGCTGTGTTTCCAGAGCTCGCTGTTGGGCTGCTCTGAGCACATCTCATTAAGTGTTCCTTTCTCTTTTTCAGACTGTTCTGTGTTAGAACTGCTTGTCCAAAGCTAGGTCATACTTAAATCACATTTAGAACTTTCTTACCAAGGTCTCAGAAAAGGGTTTTGCCAAAAATAAACAGTTCGGAACCCAGAGCTTTGACCACATAAGGAGTTTTTAGTCCTTAAGAATTGACACTTAAACAAATCATCCTTTCAAAGGACTTTCCATTCCTATCTTGTCCTCCTGAACGCTCCGGGCACCTCACGGTGCTGTCCAGGTGTCTCAGAATTCTGGTGAGGTAGGTAGGTACCATTTCTCTTAACGAGGGCTGAGGTTGCTGCCCTAATCTCCCAGTATAGGCATGAGTAGAGCTTCATTGACCGTGTTAGGTAATTTCTCCTTGAGACTAGCTCAAGCTTGGCTGGCTGGAGGAGAAACTTCCCTCCCCAGCTGACTGTGGATAGTCTGTCCCTTCTGTCACTCCAGGACCTGGCTGTGAAAGTGAGCAGGTCCTGAGGGTACCCAGTTGTGTTCTGGGCCTGCCTTTTTCAAGCCCCCACCCTGCACCCTACTCCCCACCCCCTATCAAAGGCCTGTATAAGCAGAGAACAAGGGAGTGGGGAGCAAGAGAGCCATTCACAGGGACGACGCTTTGCTCCTGGCTGCAGGGGCAGGTCTAATGGGCACGGGGGTGGGATGGGATGGTGGAATGTGTCCCTATTTAGATGTAAAACACTATCCATTTCCATAAAAATCCTGATTTCTGGTATTAGAAAAACCAGCAGATCTGCCTACTGGCGTCACATACTGCAGGCAACGTTGATTGGGGTAAGGGCAGACTGTCCCCTCTGGTGAAGGAAGGTGATCTCCCCTTCACTGCAGTCCCACTCTGGCCAGCTCTATTCATCTGTGCTGTCCATCTGACTGTCATTGTCATGTGAGTTTGTGCCCTGCCCCCAACTCAGATGCTAAACTCTCATTACTCATGCTGATTCTTGAAGTGCTAACAACTCTTCATAAGAACTACATCATCTGTGTTTTTATTTAGTAAACAAGTCTTTGGGTTTATTGAATCTCTGACTGCCTGCTTTGAACTAAGACACTAGCTAGTGTTTAGATATATTCAAAATTATGTAAAAATAACAGAACTGGGCCGGCTCCGTGGCTTAGCGGTTAAGTGCTCGCGCTCTGCTATTGGCGGCCCGGGTTCGGATCCTGGGCGCGCCCCGAGGCACCACTTCTCTGTCCAACGCGAGGCCGAGTCCCACGTACAGCAACTAGAGGGATGTGAACCTATGACATGCAACTATCTACTGGGGCTTTGGGGGGAAAAAAATGAATAAATAAAATCTTTAAAAAAAAAAAAATAATAACAGAACTGAACAACAAGCACTTCAAAGGTGCTCTGAAAATACACAAAACTGTCTGGCTGCTCCCTGAGAATGTGGTTTTTAAAGGTGCAGCAGACAAAGTGAAGGTACGTGTTATTGCAGTGAGGATGTGGAGGGAATGTCCCGCATGGAGAGTCACTTATCAGTGAGCAGGAGGGTACATGACAGTTACCAACATGAGGAAGAACTCTTTTTAGAGAGTACAGCCTTTCTACCAAACTGCCGCACAGGCCCGGGAGCAACCCCTTCATCGATGAGGTGCTGAGAACTTGCCTCCTGGCCTGCCTGTTCTTGGTCTTCCTCTGATTTCTCCCATTCACCCCACACTAGCTCACACTCAGCGTTCCTGCCATTTCCCCTTCCCAGAGCAGGGTATGTCACCACACCCAGGGACCCAGTTATTTCCAGTGGTGGCATTGAAATGCTCCCTACACACAACTCGACCAATTTTGGAAAATAGAAACATGTTCCATAGCAGTTTGTTTGGAAGGGGCGGGACTGGGGAGATTGGAGGAGATTGTCTCAAAATTAAATACAGACAGTTGCTACTCTATAAAGATGGGAATGTAGGGTTCCAGACTTTTGATGGTTAAAATTTGAAAATTTCAAACTAAAGGAGAGAAGGAAAGGTAAGATGACAAGGAGAATGCGAGAGTTTTGAAAGGCAGTGTCCAGGGGTGAAATTCTCTTGTATTGTTGAACGATGGTGGTAGAGAGGGAGGTGAACTGAGATCTCATCTCCTCCAGCCAGGCCTGTATGCGGTGCTCACTCGTGTGTGAGAAACCCTGGCCATTTCTGGTTTGTGGGCACTTGTCTTGGGTTTCTCAACTGATCAGATGAGCCCCTCTGATAATCACCCCCTGACCCTTAAGAAATCATCTTCTGTGAGACATTTCTTGAAATGGCTGAGCTGTTTACCTTTTGGGGAGGCTGAGCACTAATGGCTTGTTGACGAGGCTGGCCTCACTAAACCAAGGAATCTTGTCAAATTTTGGAACAGAAGGCTGGAGAGAAATGGAAAGAGATCATTTTGCAGAATTCATTGCACTTGACCATTGCCATCATTATGATGACCAAAGTAACCTAACAGCAGCTATACAGCAGGCAGCCCTTTATAAAACATTTTTATGATTTATATTTGACTCTTTTGACTCTCCCAGCAAGAGAAAATAGTACTATCTCCATTTTACAGATGAAGAAATCAAAACACAGCTAGTGTGATTTGCCGAGTCACACAGCTAGTAAGTGGATTCCGGTTTTCTGACTTTTGTGTCCACTGTATCTTGTGTTCTACTATATCTCTTTGCTTCTTTATTACTCCCACTTGTTTATATAACCTCTAACAGTTCCATGAGCTCAGCTGAATATTAGCAACCTGTTATTCAAAGTCTCTGGCTGTTTTCAGCCACCGGGCCCTCCACCCTCTTTCCTTCTAGGAGGCAAAGAGGAAAGAACCACACTTTGGAGCTGTAGACAACCGGATATTCTTCATTAATCCACTTCCCAGCTGTGTGGCTTGGACAAATCACAACCTCTCTGAGCCTGTTTTGTCCTCTATGAGAGGGGGACGATATCGTCACTATACAGGTCAATGCACAAGACAGAAAACCCCGGGAGAGTAGGGGTTTTTGTCTGTTTTGGTCACCGCTGTATCACGCGCACTAAAACAGTACTCGATACTTGTAGGTACACAGTGAGCATGTGTCCAATGAATGCCGGAGGCACGGGAGCCGCTAGCTGAGGGCCTGACTTAATAATAGGAGCTCAATAAAAGTAGTCGTTATAGTCTCTCTTCTACCAGCCCGGCCTCTATCTCTGCCCTCCGGATGCCCGCTTTCGTCTTTCTGCAGGTGATTTGCTTTCCCAGGGTCCGGGCGTTCCGTCCGCGGGAGAGGAGCCGGGAGGTGCTCGGAGCAGCCAGCAGAGGGCAGCAGCCAACCCCCGGGCCCGCCGGACGGGGAAGGGCGCTCTTGCCGCGGAGGTTGCGGCGGACCCGGAAGTGCTCGGCCGCCGTCGCGACCCCGGCGCCCCGGATGGGGAAGGTGGCGGGCGGCCGCCCTGTCCCGGCCGCGCACCCTTGGGAACTCGCGGCAGGTGGGTTACGAGTGCGAGTCAGTGTTTCCGGGCCTCCTCCGCTGCCATCCCCCGCAGGCCCAAGGCTGGGTGAGGGGCGGCGGCGGGCGGGGGAGGCCCGGGAGGGTGAGTCGGGCGCCCCCGGGGACATCCCGCCCTACCCCGCCCCCGCCCTGACTCGATCCCACGGGCGGCCGTGAGATGCCCGCGCTGGGGTTCCTGTTGCAGTGAGGGGGCTCCCAGCGTGTCTGGCTGGTGAAGCAAACCTCCCGTGGTCTCCATGGAAGAAATAAGGGCGGACGATAGGAATTTTCCTCGCAGATTTGCCGGATGATCTCGGTATTTCTGACTCTTAGTTTTCCCATTGTGAAAAAGGGATCATCATCTTTGATCCTCACTAGAGTTTCGCCGTCGTAAGTAGGATGATAGTTCTTTAAAGGATGTTAAACTCAGTGGATTAAGAATCTTTAGTTTTTCTGAGTCCTTGGTTTTGGCTGAATAAACCGTAGTGCTCATACGTTTCCGTATTGTGCAGTTTACTGTTGTCTTTAGACCGTAAACTTTTTTTTTTTAAATAACAGATGCTTTTGAGAACCCAATAAAAGCTCTGGATCCCATGCCTAGAAATGTGCATAAATGCAGCTACAAGCATGCAGGGACAGGGAGGGTTTTGGGTGCTTTGAAGCCCATCCATGGACCTCAGGGATGTGTGAACCCTTGAGTTAAGAATGGGTTTAGAGGGAGACATGATGCAGGCACAAGCTTTGGGGTCAGACTATTTACCACTGTTAACTTGGGCTAAAGTCACCTAAGCAATTTGAATTGCAGCTTTTTTACTAAAGTGGGGCTAATACTAACTTGCAGGGTTGTGGAGATTAAATGAAAGAAGCTACGTAAGGCACTTAGCACATGGTAGGCACTCCATGAGTGATGGCTAGCAGATGTCTATTATTATCCAAGAGTTTATAATTTAAAGTCTGAAATGAAATTTGAATGTCTATAATTATAAAATGGCCACCACATACATTTTGCTTAGACCTTTAATAAACTGAGTTGGTTTGATTTGAACTCAGTTCTACCCTTGACCTTTCACAACTTTCATAGGTTCATACTCTCTCTTTTTCTAGGAACTTGGGTGTTGTCCTGCCGCAGAGAACAAACTCATCTATCGCAGGTCTAGCCTGGGTTGCTGCCTTTGAAAGCGAGGGAAGGTCGGTGCAACATCAACCACAACACAGCATGGAATTTCCAGAGTGATCTTATTTCAAAACTTGATAAAGAACAAGAACCACCTGGACTTCTGCAAGGGAGATTGAGCTGGCTTGAGTGTGAGAGAGAGGATAATGTGTGCCCAACCTGTAACTAACACCAAGGAGGCCAGGTGGCAGAAGGTCTTATATGAGCGACAGCCCTTTCCTGATAACTACGTGGACCGGCGTTTCCTGGAAGAGCTCCGGAAAAACATCTATGCCCGGAAATACCAATATTGGGCTGTGGTATTTGAGTCCAGTGTGGTGGTACAGCAGCTGTGCAGTGTCTGTGTTTTTGTGGTTATCTGGTGGTATATGGACGAGGGTCTTCTGGCCCCTCTTTGGCTTTTTGGGACCGGCCTGGCTTCTTCACTGGTTGGCTATGTCTTGTTTGATCTCATTGATGGAGGTGAAGGACGGAAGAAGAGTGGGCGGACCCGGTGGGCTGACTTGAAGAGCGCCTTAGTCTTCATTACTTTCACGTATGGTTTTTCACCAGTGCTGAAGACCCTGACAGAGTCTGTCAGCACTGACACCATCTATGCCATGTCAGTCTTCATGCTGTTGGGCCACCTCATCTTCTTCGACTATGGTGCCAATGCTGCCATTGTATCCAGCACACTGTCCCTGAACATGGCCATCTTTGCTTCTGTGTGCCTTGCCTCTCGCTTGCCCCGGTCCCTGCATGCCTTCATCATGGTGACATTTGCCATCCAGATTTTTGCCCTGTGGCCCATGTTACAAAAGAAACTGAAGGCATGTACTCCCCGCAGCTATGTGGGAGTCACACTGCTTTTTGCATTTTCAGCCTTGGGAGGCCTCCTGTCCATTAGTGCTGTGGGGGCCATACTCTTTGCCCTTCTGCTGGTTTCCATCTCATGTCTTTGTCCTTTCTACCTCATTCGCCTGCAGCTTTTTAAAGAAAACATTCATGGGCCTTGGGATGAGGCTGAAATCAAAGAAGACTTGTCCAGGTTCCTTAGCTGACTTAGGGACGTCCATTCCATTATTAAGACAAGCTGATAGAACTAGCCTCCCAACTAGTATAAGATTTGAAGGCAGAGTTCAATTCTGGAAGCAGCATACTGATGTGGGTAGGAGGACAGAGATCAAAAGAAAAAGTTAACCAAAGGCTTGGGTGGCGAAGGTGCTTATCTTTCGTTATTCTGCAGGTGAAAAAGCCTTCTGGGGCCCTCTTGAATTATTGCCTCTCCTATATCATTTGCTGTAACAAATGAAGTGATGTGGTTTCTATTTATTAAAAAAATAACAACACATCCATCAAGTTGTCCATGATTGTTCTGTAAGCAGAGGGCAGAGGGGCATGAAGAGTGAAGAGAGGATAAAAGTATGTGTGTGTATGTGTTATGTATGTATAAAGTCACTTCTCTACGTTTTCAGTGTACTAACGCAGGCTCCGTCATTTATCTAGAGCTCAAATCCTAGAACCCTGGATGCTGTGTCCACTTGTGTTGCCTGAGATCACAGAATTGGTCACTTAACCTTCGCTCAGAGGTGCTGCTTAGTTCTTAGTGAAGCTTGTACGCAACTAACTACAAGGGAGAGTGATGTGACATAACACAAGCAAAATGGTAGGGGAATTCAGAGAGGCTGGAGGTCAAGCTGAGCTGGAGTAATTGGGAAATATTAGAGGAGATGGCATTTGAGCTTAGTCTTGCAGGTTGGGTGGGATTTAAGCCAAAGATGGTGGCAAAGGCCTTTAGGAGCCAGGTCAGGGTGACTAATGGCAACTGGGAAACTATGGAGAGAGCCTGCCCTCTCCAGTGAGGGCAGCTGCTACTCTGCTCCACATGAATGTTTCCAGTCAGAATTTGTGCCTGGCTTCAGATCTTGATGAAATCCCAATAGCTGTAAATGTGATTTTTAATGCGAAATTTAATTGTAAACTCTGTCAAATCAGGCCAGAAAACTCACTTGGACGCAAATGTGACTCCCACCATGCAACATCTGTTCTTAGCAGAGCACAGAGTGGGAAAATATTTAATGGGAGTTCAGGCTTGTGGAAATTTGAGGAAAAGTTGGAATGAGGGGTTTGAGTAACGGGTGTATGTAAGTTCTATATTCAGGAATTTGGGCTTTATACTGCAGGTCATGGGGAGCAATCCAGCTTATCTGAGGGAGTAAATGTTCAGCTCTTGGGCTAGTTACAAACTGCTATGTCTCAGTTTTTTCACTTGTAAAGTGAGAATGGAAGTATCTACCTCTAGAATTGTGATGATTAAATGAGATATTTGCAAAAGTTTTGAAGAATGCTGGACACATCACTATTAGTGTTGGCTATTGTTACTAAGTTGATATGTAAGAAGACTTGAAGAGGGCAGAGACAGTGCAAAGTGCATCAGTTGCCTCCCAGGATAGCTGGTCCCTCATGAAATAATTCATTTGTGGCAAGTTCCTGTACCATCCGTTCTCACTAGAAATTAATTTCAAATCAGAAATTTCATCAGGGCAGTAGTATTCCTAAGAAGTAACGTTTTTATTTCTCTCAACATAGATTTCTCAGAAATGTGTTGAATAGGATTGTGAACTAGTGTCTTCAGCTCTGTCATCTCACCTCCTTTTTCTTGTTTTAGTTTGGATTGATGAGAATAGTGCTTCATGATTAGGATGGGTAGTTTTCCCTAAAGCCAATTCGATTGCTTTCACAGTTCCAATGACACTGGCTGATGGGAAGAGAAGGATCTTGGAGACTGACTTATGGAGCTCAAAGCATCCATCTCCTGCCTATGTTGGGTTTATCCTTCTCATTCCTTGAGAGTGGCCAGAATTGGCTCATAATTATTATATAGTCCACATCAGGAACAGGGCCGGGTGCTGGTGATTGAGGGTAGTAAAGAGTTGTATAAAGTTGTGTTTTTGTTTTTTATGTTTTAATACATTTGCCTTATTTGAATGGGTTTCTAATTATCAGCTTTAAGGAACTCACATAGCAACTACATCCATGTCAGTGAGCAGAAAGTTCCCCAAATTTGAACCACTTTCAAGAATAGTTCCTCAGCAGGGTGAATTAGTGGTGGCTGTGCTGTCATTTTCAACTCTTCTCTGTCGCACTGCATAGTATTTGGAGGCACCCTGGGCCGGATTCTATTTAATTTGGTGGTTGTAGAAGTTCAGTGTGGAGGTGTCGGGATGGGGAGCTGTGGGTTGGATGAGGGTGTAGAGTAGGGCAGCCAACTCAATTGAGATAGGTGGTGGCTGTGGGGAGAAGGATACTCCAACCAGAGTGAACAGTATGTGCCAGAGTGCACAGGGCCTGATGCATCCTGGCAGTGGAGAGAAACGCAGAATAGATGGGCTGTGGTGGGGAGGGTTGAGGTCAGAGTGCTGAACACTTTTTGAATTATCGTATCCTGTAGTCAGTGGCAAATTAAGGAGCTTTTGAAAAGGGATATAAGATTCCCACCAAGCACACCTTCATATATATATGAAATACATGCATATGTATTAAATAATAATTTTGGCAGCATTGTTCAGGCTGAACTACAGAGGCTGAGCACAGGGAGCTCTTGTGTCAACAGTGAAAAGTGAGGGTCTGGACTAAGGGTAGTGACAGTGTGCATGGAGATGAGGGCCCTGATTAGAGAGATTTTCAGAGAACTTGGTAAATTCACATTGGGAGATGGAAGGGGAACAGAGGATGACTGTGGGGCTTCTGCCTTGAGTGGATTTGTGTTCCATTAAGTATACCATGAAAAAACAAGTGAGAACAGGTGGAGATGAAGTAGATAAGAAAATAAGAAGGGACGTGTTAAGTTTGCGGTACCTGAGGTGGTATACCCAGGCTAAGGTGTTCCATAGGTAGTATCTGGAGGACACTGGATCAAAATTCTGGACATAATCTAGAAGGGTATTGAGATCTAAATAGAATCCAGTGCTTTTGTACTTGGAATTCTTTGTCCAGAATTGGTTGCCTCACAACCAGGCTATAGTGGAATTAGACATGTATCATAGAAGGATAACTAGAAAATCAAAATGATAAGAATCAAAGGGAAAGGAGGCTGCCCTACGAAAATGGATTAATCTGAGAATAGAACACCACAGCCTGGAAGAAAGCTTAATGGAGATAGTCATTGCCTATAAAACTGTTAAGGGTGAAAGTAAATGTTGATTTGTTCACCAAATCATAACTTATAGGAGGAGAAGACACCGTTTGAAATTTGAGCAGGGCAAGTTTAAGAGAAATGAAATACAATATTATACACTTTCTGCATGTAGCTCTAAGGAGTTTCACAAGCCAGGAATATAAATGGATTCCAAAAAGATTTTGGAAAAAATGCAAATAAAAAAGCCATAAATGTTTTGTAGGAAAATGTTAAGAAATCCCAAGCCCTCAAGTGTTGCTGCATGCAGGATGATGAGGCTTCCTATGGCATGCTTCTTTGGGTTGCTGCTGGCCTGGGGATGCTGGCCTAGATAACAATTGGTGTGGCCTAGGGTGAGAGTTGTTGGGAAAGTTACTCATCACTTAAGTACAGTGATGCTGTCAGTCTCGTAAATTTAAACCACACTGAAAGGTGCAAGTAGACTATTAATGATTTAGATTTTCAGAGAATATTATGGTGTATGTGGGGGAAGGGGGAAAGGGTTACGGTAGCACTGGAATTAAAATCCCAACCTGTCAAACACTTGTTTGGATAAGAAGCTGTCTGCCCTTCCCCCTCTGTACTCTTCCTCTCAGCTCTGCTTCTTGTCAATCCAAGTTAAAGGTGAAGCTGGAGGCTGGATGCAGCAAGTGAGAACAAGGAGGGAGGAATGGGGAGGCAGCTTTGCCCATTCTTCCAAAATTGTACCAGGGCTTGTAGTTGGGATGGAAGGATCAAGGAGAGGTAGAGCTATAGGGCGGAAGGTGTGCTTCATTTTGTGGCATAATGTGGCTGATAGATGACTGGCATATAGCTAGAAGGCTGTGCAGCAACACACACAGTGGTTCTGTGTGGTGACCAAATTGGTGTCCGTGTCATGCCTGTATGCTACGTCAGTACTGTAAACTTTTGAGGGAGCCTTTGGGCAACTGGCTTAAATTCTGGATTTAAGAATTCATGCTGAGCATATTTGAAGATGCATATGGAGCCATCATTTACATCTTCTAAGCCAAAGGCTCAAGGTCAAGAAAAACAAAAACAGGCCAGCAGAGGGCATCAGTCACACAATTTTACAATATTTCAAACCATGGAATGCAGGGAAACATGGATGGGACACAGTGCCATCTTGTGGAAGTTATTAATATTCCTTTTTATAATGAAATTCAATGAGAGCCTTGGGATTCTTGCTGAATTGTGGTTTGGGAAATAACTACACCATCTGAGGTCCCCATAAATTCAGGAAATAGCTCACTGGGATTTGATATAATAGCTACACTTTCGAGCACCCAATGTGTGTCAGGCACTGCGTTAGGCACTTTATATGCATTATCGTATTTACTTCTCATACCAATCCTGTAATACAGGTATTATTTTCATTTTACAGTTGATGAGACTGAGGCTCAGAGAGAGCCAGTAACTTTCCTAAGGCTATATTGCCAGTGTGGGCTGATACTTTGCTTTTCTGACTGCTGAACTGCATCCAGGGCCAAAGGCTAACTGGAAGGCAGTTGCTTTTAATGCTTTATTATCAAAACCCTCATCATCCGTTTGTCCCTTATTCCTTCCCCCAACATCTAACAAAATATTTATTGTCCACCGAGGCCTAGTTCTACTCACTTTCTACCATTCACATTTTATGATGTTTGACCTCAGGAATTTATTCATTCAACAAATATTTATTGAGCACTAATTATATGACAAATATTGTTCTATGTGCTTGAGATGTATCTATGAATAAAACGGACAAAGTCCTTGACTTAGTAGAGCTTACACTGCAACACGAGGAGACAGACAATAAACATAAGAAGAAGGTAATAAATGCTATGGAAAAAAAGAAGAAAAAGCAGCAATGGTATTAAGTAAGGGGGTCAGGGAAGGTCTCATGGAAAAGGTAACATTTAACCAAAGACTTAAAGGAGGTGAAGGAATAATCCAGATTCCTCGAGGAAGAGCATTCTGGGCAGAGGGAGGAGCTGCTGCAGAGGCCCTGGCAGAAGACGGCTTGGCGTGTTTGAGGAACAGCAGGGATGGCTGAAATGGAGTGAGCAGGGAGAGCAGAAGATGAGGCCAGAGAGATAATGAGGGAGGATACAATGTATAACATTACAAACTATTAGAAGGACCTTGGCTTCTACTCTGAGATGGGAGCCATTGGAAGGTCTTGGAGAAAAAGAGGGA